GCTACCACCTCCAACATAAATGAAGACAGAAAACTAAACAGCAGTGGCGTTTGGAGGGTTACTGAAGTTGGACTACCTGGTATATAATGTTGTGCTACGTGATTGCTAGCGACACAGCTATGTTAGCATAACATTAGCACAGTGAAGCTGGAGGATGGACCAACTTTTTTTCCACTCGATAAAAGTTAACGTGACGGATTCTGGTGGTCAGGGACAAATGCAATCGCATAGCAGGATGCTATACACAGGGCAAACTTCAGTCAGGAGAACAACTGAGATTATTCATCCACAATACAAGGTTAGTTATTAATATACTGCAACAACATGGGAATAGAGCAGCTGCGAGAGAATTCAACATTAATGAATCAATGTTACGGAAGTGAAGCGGAGTTTTTGGCTTTCCCCATATTTCAAAAATGCTTCATCTCTTTGCTATGACTGTCGCCCGACATAATTTGCAGATGATAATGGTTTTAGCCGCTGCGATGCTTTCGACCAAAACAGGCGCAGCTTGATGACATCCTCAACATGCGCTATAGCGATATAGTCAAAATCTCTATCGTTGGCCAAATTTATATCGTTTCTATCGTATATCGTTTATATCGCTCACCCCTACTAACAAGTCAAATCCTTGTCTTGCATTCAGACTCTTTCTGTGTTTGTCCTGACTTCAACTCAGGTGTCTGGATTTGGTGCCTCTCATTATCAGTTGTACAGTGTGTGCATGCAGACACTGGGCTGATTTGGGAAAGGCTTAAAATTCCAGTGCCAGCCTCACAGTTTAATGGATGGCAGACTAATCCAAACATCCATGTTGTGTTTGTGTAAGCCTGTCATGATTTAAGCATTTGGTCTCACATGTATTAACCTGCGTCAGCTATGAGTGGATGGTAGATGATTAGAAGATGACTGAAGTGTAGCTCATCACATTTTGAATTGCTTATAAAAACCTAGAAGGGAAGATTGAACCCACTCTTGTCTGTGCAGTTTGTAACTCTGGTACCTAAAATGAACATGTAAAATCTTGACTGTATTTTTCTGGGAACATATTTTTCCACCCAACCAGGAAGTTGCTATTCTCTGCCAGGGAAGAGTCTGGCATGTAGCCCCAATGTAATGGCCCATTGTTGTTTTTACTATTTCTGAACTTTTTGTCAGGGAGCTTTGGCGATATGCTGGTTGGTGGATTTGTTACCTATGGGTAAAGACAGGCAAGCTGTTCTAATCAGCTGCTGGCTTCAGCTGCATATTTACTGTAAAGACGTGAGCCATGTATCTTTTCATCGCTTCTCTGCAAGAATATTACAATATTTTTTATGTACTGTTTCACATTTTCCGTGCTATCATCAACTGTATAGTGGCACTCAGAGCTGCTGTATATAGTATGTATACAGTTTACAGTCTGTGTGACAGTGTGTGTATATGTGGTGACTGCCAAGTGCAGATTTGTATGAAGTCCTGTAGATGTGTGATCATAAACATCATGTAACTGTGCCCCTGATGACCAAACACTCTTCTCCTCCTCCTCAGTGCCCAGCATTCGCTTCTCCGATGTTGCAGTCCTCCTTTTTTTCATCCTCCTCCCCTCTGCTGTCATAACCCTCATTCTTATTGGACGGATGCTGTGTCCCAAGAAAGAGCGTAACCAATCAAAGGCCCACAGATCACCCATAGAGATCACAGAGGGGTGAGTAGATGCATTCTGCCAATCACTGGTGAGGCTCTCCAGGGGATAAAGATGGTCACAGCAGGTGATAAATAGGATTAATGGTTATAGACATGTTTCTTCAAATGGATTTAATGAACGTTAAACATGAATCTAAGTTTAAAATGGGTGTTTGCTTCTGAAGAGTGGCTATCAATCACTCTTTAACTGACTTCTCGCTGGTATGTCATGTGATGAGCAGTCACATAAGGTTTCAGCCAGTACTGGCTTGTTTTTCACTGGTTCATGCAGGAAAAAGCTTTTAAAACAAGTACTGGCTTGCAGCTGTGGTTCACATTCATCTTAGGTGCTCTACGAACTTTATATACTTATATATAAGCAGCTTGCCACTGTTACCATTATCTTTTTAAAAAATTGCTTCATCTTTGTCTTTTCCCGTTTTCCCGTTTTTATACTGTTAACTACACTCAAATACATCTTTACAGTAGAAAACAAGAGAATAACAAAAATTTACTATTTAACACTGAAT